AAATGCATTCTGAATTGTTCTTAATTAATTATTTTCATTTTTTTTCTCAGATTTTTTGAAAGAATTATAGTTCATTTTAATCGATTTTGATTGATTATAATTTTATTTTTCAATAGTTTTTTGCAAGTTTTTTATTGTTTTTTCATAATTCTATTTCAGCTTCAGTTACTGTTTTTGTCGTCCCACTCCATTTCACATTCATAAATTCAATCGCGTTTTTAGAAAAGGTCACGTTTTGGCTATTCTTGTACGTAGTTTTATGTATGGTGTGGGTAAACGTAGGATGGGACGGGGTGGGGGTTTTGGTATGGGGTTCTGGTAGCAGTGGGGGCAGGGGGCGTGAGAAACATGGGGTAAGGTGAGGGGTTGGGGGGTTGGGGGAACTGGCGCTGGAGCATGGATGGGGATGAGAACAAAGCTGCAACAAATGATCAATTTTCATGGAGTTCACGAACAAAAAAATCGATAATATTTTTAAAAAAAAACTATTATTGATTGAAATGGATTAAAGTTCCATAACGTGGTCTATATATTTTTATGAAAATTAATGAGTATCAGTCATTTCAGTCAACGAAAACTCATTATAATTTATCTTTACCCATGATAGTTCAGCGTTGGTGGTAAACTGCTTCTGCCCCTTGCAATTTGTTTTGCAGCAAAGATTTTTTAACCAAGATTTTTAAACCCAGCAAATGTTTTGCAGCAAAGATTTGCTTAACCAAATGCAAATATAAGATAATTAATTGCTCCAACTCCTCTGAAAAGATAGCAAAAAACTATGGCGTCGCTTAATTGTTTGAGCCTCAAATATTCTGTGGGATCTCAATTATTGTTTCAAATGAAAGTAGTTTTGGTCGTTACCTTTATTTACGTTTAAAAACATTGATTAGATCGGAAAAGCGCACGTTAAAATTCGGCTGTTCAGGGTCAAGCATTAACAAAGATTGGATACAAACAGGTGGCCGTTTTCTGTTTTTTCGCTGAAACTGTTTTTTCGCAAAGATATTAAGTTCTCGTTATTTCATGTCTGTTGTTTTTTGTTTTTAGTGATTTTTTATGTGGTATCGAGGGATTCGCTATATCTTGGTTTGAAATTGTCATGTTCTCGTCGGTGTTGGTCACTTTGTCATGTTATTGGTGTTGATCATACTGTCATTTTCATGTCCTCGTCGTATTTCTGTACAGAGTAATTTCAGTAGTTCGTATACGTGTAGTGTAATTCAGGTATTGCGCAAATCAGGTGTGTTTTCTTATTGTCCTTAATTCTTGTGTTTTCTTGAGAGGAATCGCATTTCGAATTTAAAAAATTTGTTGTAGTTGCAGATTTCTTAAGGCGGTTTTATTTGCAACTTCGTATACTAAAACACCATATTGATATACCAATTGTATAAACTGTTTGTATATTCTAATAAGAACAGATGAGCTGAGAAGCTGTCTTGCTTAATAAAAGTGGAAGTGAAGTGATTGCATTATTTTCCTACTGTTTCAATGGGTTTGTTGAAAGTACATTTTTGACCCAAAGTTACTCCCAGGTTTTTAACAGCTTTTAAAAGTTCGATCTCGTCTTGGTTTCACGTAAATTTTTCTAATTTTAAAGTCCATTTTTGATCATTATTAGTGCTTTAACTTTGTGTGTTGTACGTTTTTTGCTTTCCATTCATTCTGATAATGTATCCAAATCTATTTTAAGTTCTGTAGTTTCAATGAGTGATCCATGAAAAACTAGTGTCATTGGCATAAGGAACACATTCAATCTGCTGTGGTTTGTTGGGAAGATCATTGATATAAATGAAAAAAGCAGGGGATCTACAACAGATCCTTGAGATACCCCACAATGAAGTTTCTCTGTTAATGAACTTTTATTTAAATGACAATTATATCGATTCCTATTGCTGAGATTCGATTTCAGTGAATTAGGAGTAACACATCTCAGTCTGTAAAAGTGATACTTGTGAATGAGTGTTTTGCTCATTATTATCAAAAACTTCATATGAACCTGAGAGTGTACAGTGCGCCAAATTATTAGTAATTTTGCTTCCAATAAGACCCTCGATTTTTTCCACAATAGCAGCAATTGTAGAGCGTTTGTTGCAATCCAAACTGTTTATTATTGAAAAATTGATTATTAATTTTGGTAACAGTTTCTCAAAAAATTTTTTTTGACAGAAACTAAAGAAATTGGTCTATAATTGCATGGAAGTGACATGTCTCCTTTTTTGAAATCAGATACTACTTTTGCCATTTTAAGACAGCTGAGATAAACTGCTTCGCAAACTGTCTGGTTAAAAATACCGGTAAAATGAGCTGAAAATAAGAATTATTTTTTTGATCAGCTAATTTGACGGAAACATGAAACCTTTAGCTTTATTGTTGGGCAACTGCTTTATTGTGTCATAAACTTCCTGTGAATCAATTTGTGACAGGAAGAAGGAATAATTTTTTGCAAATGTTTTGAAAAACACTCGTTGTCTGAACTCCAAATGTCAACACTTAACCGATTGTGACAAAACAGTTGTTCAGTTATTTTGCATTTATATGATTTAGTTCAGTTTTTAAATTGCTTTTTGTCGCTTTTAATTTCTGTCACATAAACATAATTTTTTTTTTGAAATTGGCCGTTATGATACCCTTTTTTTGTTGGCCGATACCATTTTTTGCTTTTGACCGTGTCCTGTTCCAATTTTTGCTTTGCCTGTGAAGTCTTTTGATTTTGATATAATTTCACTAGTTTGCATTTTTCAGTAATCGTAATTTTGATATTATTCGATGTCAAGCTTTTTTAAAATTTATTGATTTCTTTTTGACAACACTGACATTGCATCCAGAATGTTTTGTACTTGTTGCTGCAGAATATCATTTTTTTCCTTGGTACTAGTTTTACAATCGTTGAAATTCGTTTTTCCTATTTTGTTATGTAAAAACCAATTGAACTCAGTTTTGAATTCATGTTTTCGCAGTTGTTCATAACTTCTACCTTAAGATATTTTCTTATGACGATTTTCTATAAGACCAATTTTGAATTCATTTTCAACATCATAATGATCAATGATTGCGTGTTCAATTTTTTAGGTCGTGAAAAATTGCAAAAGACCAAAAAACAAAGTTGTCTGAGTGTTCTTCATAACACGTGGGCTATCAGTTTGTCTAAATGTCAGAGTAAATGCAAGCAGCTTAAGTTTTTCAATAAATTGTCTGCTTTTTGATGTCACAACTGACATAACTATGTTAAAGTCGTACACTCTATGATTTGTTTTGCTTTAGTGACATTTTTTAATTCAAACATATGACTTGAAAAAAAAATGAAGGAAATTGTCATTTTTTGCACTGAACGACTTGTAACTTGAAACTAGAATCATTTTTCTTTGTTGAAGATCGTCGAAACTGTAGAAATTTGGATTTTTTTGAGGTCGTAGTTTTCAACACTTTTGAAACATTTTCTTCTGTGAGAAGAACTGTTTTTCCTGCACCCCTACTTTTGGTTTTCTGGCATATAGCATTTAAGCTTCAAATCATTTTGGCAAGAAATGTTAAAATTAGATATGTCTCTAAATCAAGTTTCTGCTGGAACAACGAAAAAAGCTTCAAGTTTTGTTGCTAAAGCAGAACAAACAATTCATGATAATTTTCTCCAAGGTCGCGTATATTTTGTAGGAAAAGCGTTTCAATTTTAAGTTAAATTTTTTGGCCAATTTTCCAGAACTGCTGTTTGTTTATTAAAACACAGTTTTTGTCGCTAGAACGCTAAAAGGGCTGCAATGTTTAATATGCAAAAAAAACTTTTTGAATTCGAGTTCCCAAAAAAATGCATTTCATCTAAGTCAATTTCCAGCGCTATCAGAGATTTGCTGCTAACAGACTTAAAAAACTCATTGTAAGCTATGAATAATTGTTTTCACTGACTTATGAACCAAATTCCTTTAATTTTTTGCGTTATTTTGAGATAAGAGGAAAAATCTTCACTTGAACCACAATAGAAGAAGTTGAAATGAAAGAAAGGAAAAAATGAAAGACCCCGGTAATCCCATTTGTATTAGATTTCAGCAAAAGTTCTTTCCACCAGTCTTCTTGGGTAATCCTCGACTACTTTTTTTGTCATTTTTGTGGCTTTTCATTGTTTTTCGTTTAGGACCTAAACTTAACAATCATTGATTTAAATATGATTTTTTTAAAAACATTGAAAGCGCAGAGGAGAATAGGTTTGCTAACAATTATGATTTTTTCAACTTTATACCTTAGTTGCCTTATTTTTAGGTTAAAAATTTTGTTTCGAGTTTTAGCAGAAACTTGCTTTGATCTTGATTTCTGATTCCAACAGAATTAATTTTATTTATTTTTTTGCTGTTGTCGACATGTAATGTAATGTTTGTATAGTTAGCTTTTGTATTTTTTGAACTGAAAATTTTAGGAGATTTTGAATTTCAACGCTTAACGTAGATATTAAGTTTTGAAAAGAATTTTTGTTTCACGTAATGTCTTATCATGATGTTCTTTTTAGAAAACTCAGTTTAAACAAAAAAAAATTTTATCCGAAATAAATGAAGTTTTTTATACTTAACGCGCGATAGATTTCGCACTATGAAAGCGTAAGTGGAGATTTAATCCGAATTAAAAATAGTTCCATATTGTTTGAAATCTGCCTAATTGCCATAAATCTTTTGTTAGTAGGAGCGAAATTTATCACTGTTTATATGTGGCGCGTTTGTCTTTAAATGGCAAATTAAAAAAATTCATTTTCTTTTCATTGCATTTATTTTTGTCATGCTTTTACTGCTCCATAGAACTTAAAAGGCATTTAGGGCTCAAAACATTTAGGGCTTTACCCTGATATGAGCAGTTTTGTTCTATTTTGTGATTCAAAATAGTTTGGCCAAAGTATCTAACACGCATAAATACTCGATCACGAATTACTTTGCTTTTAGCCAGGCGGTCTGATTTTTTTTGCTTTTTGGTAAACTTTTTTGAAACTGACACAACAAAATTAGTTATTTCTTCCGTTTTAGATATCACTACGAAGAAAAACCGAGGAATAACTTGGCTCTACTTAAACTAGAGAAAAATACCGAAAGATCTTTACTTTCACTGTGCACTAAAAAACCTGAAGATGGAACGCTTTTAGCAACCGTTGGACTCGGTTCAATTTCGACAAAAGCCGCTCGACCAGCTTCAATTTTGCAGCAGACGTTTTTCTTCGAAACAGCATTGGAATATTTGTTCAATGATCGAATGAAAATCTGCGAAAAGGAAACCATTTGCACCGAACCATTGACCGGTGGGTCAAATACTTGTCTTTTTGACGATGGAGGTCCCCTGTATATTGTGAATTGTTCGCAGACACAAAAAACTCCATTATGTTTGTATGGTGTAGCCAGTTTTTTTATTCAAGACCCCAAACGTCCAAAAGAACTTTGTACAGGAGGAAGTGTATTCACAAGAGTGCCCGATTTCATCACATGGATATCTGACACTATAGTGCAGTTTGCACATGATTGAAGGCGATAAATGACAGAAACTTTTGCATTATTGCATATGTTTGATCAGATCAATTGTTTAATTTCGACAGCGAATATTTTAATGTTTTTGTTATTAACTTGAAATATTAATTTTTTTTCATTACTTCTGAAATTTAGTTTTTTTTTATTTCTTCAAGAATATTAACCAATCTTTTTCCACTACTGAAGTTTCTCTATCCAAAAACACTTAAAACACGACATTGTTTGTTTTCAAAGAATCAAAAGTTACGGGTGTCGGATGTCACTTTGCGGCTAAAGTTACAAAGTTATTGTTGTCGTTAAAGTTACAAATATTGTAAGTCGCGGTTTGTGTCCGGGAATTGACAGCCCGGGCTTTGAATTTCTGGAAAAGTGGAGAAGTCCGGACCTATGGTAGAGAAAATTTGAATACAAACATGCAGCGGGACGTTCAAATTGTGCACGTGATTTTAAACACCAATCTGAGATGCAACAACATTTTGAAAAATTTGCTCTTGAATTGCGTTGAGTTGGGAACAGACGAAAAACGGAAAGCTTTGGAATTTAAAAGAGTTGAAGAACCTCAATACCAAAATGTTTTTATAAAAATTGGCTCTTTTTCCTGAATGCACCACAGTTTTGCCGCGTAATGTATCTATTAATTTTGAGGGGGAAGCGCGCGCCAAAAAAAAACGCAATTTTTTTTGGTCAGAATATTCCAAAAAGTGCCTGAAAACGCCTCTTTTTTGGCCTCTTTTTTCAAAATTTTGCCTGCGGCCTAGAAATTTTGGTCAAAACAGGGTTTACTATTTAGTGCTTTCGGAGAGCTCGGAGAAGTACTTTGCTCGACCTAAAAAAAATGTCGCCAGATTTTTTCAAATTTGTACACACAAAATCACTAATACACCCCCCCCCCCCCGTCGAGAAAATCCTTGATAGATCCGCCCCTTGGTCGGGACAAAAACTTACATGCATAGATTTATACATATATACATACTCAGATACTCACCTAATACTCAAACACATACATATAACAAGACTGCTCGTATCAGGGCGAAGCCCTGAATGTTCCGACTGCCTTTTAAGGTTCATGGAGCAGCAGTAATAACATTAAAAAAAACTAAATGAAATAAAATAAAATGAAAATTTTTTTTTCTAAAATTTGAAATTTTTTATGAAAATCATCCCCCCACACGCCATATAAAGTATAAAAAGATAGAATTCGTTCCTTGTAACAAATCAATTATGGCAAATAAGCTTCGTCAACCAATTTGGAACGATTTATAAGACGGATTAAGTCTCCGCTTACGCGTTAATAGCGCAAATTATATCGCGCGTTAATTGTCCCAAATTGGTCAAAATGGCAATCTTTAAACCCTCATAACTTTACAAAAAACAATCACAGGTGAAATATCTTTTCAAATTTAAGCTCAGGACAACAATACCTTTTGAATGATATAAAAAATTCCGTCAAAAATGGCTAGTTAAAAAGTCGAAATTTGTCTGAAGAAAAAAAAACCCACCCCGAGCACAAATATTCCGTTACTTTCGTATCGAAAGTCGGAACAACAAGACTGCTCGTATCAGGGCGAAGCCCTGAATGTTCCGATTGCCTTTTGAGGTTTACGGAGCAGTAATAACATTAAAAAATTCAATGTAATAAAACTAAATGAAATTTTTTTTTTCTAAATTTTGAAATTCAAAAAAATTTAAAATTTTTAAAAAAAAATCATCCCCCCACGCGCCATTTTAAGTACAAAAGGATAGATTTCTCTCTTTGTAACAAATCTATTCTGGCAAATAAGCTAAAATTTGTTAATATTTGTTATGGTGTTAGTTGGTTTGTTAACATGTGTCAAGATTAAGAGAGTGGAGAGTAATTTTCACCTCTGTCAACCGGTTAACTTTAGGTTTTTTTGATTAAAAAATCAGCCCTTAAATTTTGAAGAGGTGCCTTTAAAATTGATGTTGTTTAAATTGAAGATCAAACTATAATAAATTTGTTGAAACAACAAGCAATCGAAAACAAATACTCGGAGGTCTTTTCAGTTAGGTAAAAAAACCGCCAAATACATAAAATTTTTGATTATTTTTAACGCAATATTTGAAACTCGCCTTTCTCCGTTTGATGATATATGTGTTGCTTAATTGTGTTGCTTCAGGCAATGCTACTGACTTAGTTAAGATTCATCCATTCCCGCAAGTAAAAAAAAATCTCGGCAAAATTTTTTATTATCACGTTCAAAAAGGTATCAGTGAATGATTTGAACAGTTCGTAACAGATTGTTTTTAAAATCATTGTTTTCTGCGATCAATTGCTGCTTTTTTGTGAAGTAGTCACCAAAAACTTTATCTGCAATAAATTATAAAAAATGACATCAGTATGTCGATTTTCTATTTCTTTCTTGCTCAAAGTTAAACCATTTCAAGAATTCAAGTTTTGAGGAACGAACTGTTGCTGTGTTTTTTTTCATATTCATGTGCGGCTATATCTTACCATTAATGCGGCGTTTAGTGTAGCAAGCTCTGCATCGCATGTAGTTTCAGCTCTCTACTGCCTATGCATTATGACTTTAGTACATTGTCCTGATTTTTTCCAAAACCTAATTGTAACATTGAATAAAACACTTGCCGTGAAACAAATATTCTTGTAAAGTTACGGGATTCTTGAAATTGGATTCAGTTTCGGGCATTTCTTGAAAAAAAGAACGATTAGTTAAAATAAAAAATTACAGTTTTCGAAATTTTAACGGATTTAATTTTGAAAAAGCAATCAAATCATTTTAAAATAGACTGAATACTCGACTACTCTCAAAAGTTTGAAAGTACCAGATATCAAATAAAGCAAGTCAGAGTGCGCTTTTTTAGAGCAGCCACAGCAACTCAAAATGGTTTCATCCAGATCAAAGCAAGCTAACCAATTTTGTGTTTCGAGATGTTGAGCGATCTAAGACAGTTAGGTTGCGGATTTGCGTGATCTATTAGGTTAACATGAAGACTATGCTCGAGATATCAAAATAATGAACGAAATGTTGATAAATGATTTTCATGTAAATGCTTGGGTAATACTTGAACAAAAAAGTGTTAAGTTTTCATTAAATGAGATTGCTGTAACGAGGAAATGAGTGTGCTACAACGTTGAAGCCTGCTAGCTGTCATTTATTAACAGATTGATTAAAACGTTTACGCATATTTGTGCTTCAAGTCACTAGACTTATGCCCTATCAAATCTCAAAATTTTAAAAAATAACCGTTTTATAGGCATCAACTTTTTCAAATTCATCGAGAAGTTTTTGACTGAGTCGTCAATATTCTGGTTTTTCTAGATTCATAAACCAATTTTTTGAAGAAAAGATGGAATATTTGTGCTCGGTGTGGCTTTTTATCAGACAAAGTTCGAATTTTTAGAATTTTCAGAAATTTTTTTGATTGGAGTTCATTACTTCATCTGACAGGTATTGAAATCTTGAAGTCAAACTTAACAAATTTTCCAAATCTGACTAATTTTAGACATAGCGGCAATCAATTTATTCCAGATCAAAAAATGTTGACATAGTAATTCAAGAAATTGTTGCTATATGAGTTTCTAGACACCAATAACATATATTTCGCGCTATTAACGTGTAAGCGGAGAGTTAATCCGTCTTAGATATCGTTCCAAATTGGTTGAAAGAAGTTTATTTGCCATCATTAATTTGTTACAAGTAGCGAACTCTATCCTTTTGTTCTTTATGTTGTCTTTAGGATTTCCACACACGGTCTTGCGAAGCTATCCCTTTTACCGTGCTAAAGCAGGGGGCACTAAGGCTCGGTATTAACGACAATCCCGAAAGGGTTATGTTAGTGGTGAGTTGTCCTCTATTGTATTATATTGCTCCCCCTTGGTCAGTGATGCTCTTGCTCGCTATATCTCGCTTGAAGTCGCGTACAACGAATTCCTTTCTTTCAAATGAATTCAATATATATATATATATATATATATATATATATATATATATATATATATATATATATATATATATATAAGTCTGAATACAAAGGGCCTACTAGTTCGGCCAGAGTATAATTTATTAATATACAACAGAATGGTTTGCGATCTGCACACGCTTAACAATTTCTTCTGCGTACTCGGTCAGTACACGCGTCGACTAAGCTCTCTGACTTTTGCTAGCTTCTACTCTAACTAATATTCCACAAGGCACTTCGACTTGCGTTCTTACTTCACTCGCTGTGAAACAATTAACTGATGAGTTCAGATAGCGACCACAACTGGGACCTACTGAATCTTACGTTCGTTAACTCGTTGTCCCTTCAAAGTCCGCTCTCGAACCTCCACTTTTTATCTCTATTTGCGCTCCGTTTTTGTTAAAGTCACGCCACTTCATATCGGTGTTGTCATCCCCTTAAGCACGACCGCCCTCTATGATTTTCCCTTTTACCTACTCCCCCTGTCAAAGCTGACGGGTTCCAAGTCCGGGGTTTTTATCGAATTGTTCACGTTTCGTAAATACATCCCCCTGCGGTTGGTATCGTACATCGGGTAAGTAACCGAAGTCGTATGATTCTTATCAGTTAAATCCGCCCCTACGCTACTTACTTAAATACCAACTGACTTCGGTGTCAAATCTTGACCCAAGCAACAAAGTCGTACGATCCCAATAAACTAATCATAACCAGATTTTGAACCAAATTTACTAATATTTTCCCTATCATGTTAGGATAAATTACAGGTTCGGGGATAAGTTTTGCTTTTATACTCGGTAGTACCCCCATGACCCAATTTCATTTTGTTTTATTACGTTTAATTTTTTAAATGTTATTACTGCTCTATAAATCTTAATAGGCATTCGGAACATTCAGGGCTTCGCCCTGATACGAGCAGTAAATTAATTTTGTATTTTTTTTGTAAATTAATTTTGGATGACTGCAAAAAAAGTAACCATAGTAATTTAGTTAATGATGTGTATAACTTAGCTAATTTTTATTTGCCACGGAAGCATTAAATTTATTCAAATGTATCTCTCTGAAGCTTTTGTCATCAGCTGAACTAAAAAGTGACATCCCACTTTGAATCAAAATTTTTTTTTGTGGTAAGAGTTTGTGATCAGATAAACTAAAGGCGATATCTCACGTTTAACGCTTTCCTTTTTGGCAGCAAAATTATAATCCATCATGAAATAATTGTGTGTTGTGATAACAATTTGTCAAAGTTTCGAAAAAAGTAATCAACTATTAATTTTTTTTAAAAGATGACTCAATGGATCAACTGTAATTGTAAATTTTCCTAAAAGGATGACTCCTCGGATCACCCGTACCAATTCTCCCAATTGAATAAGGGAAAAAATCAACCGGCCTAGGGTAAAACACTAAAACAAACTCAATTTTTATGCAATTTTTTTTTGTTTTTTTTTTATAAGATTAATTTTTCAAAACTGCCAATCGAATTAGAAATGGAAAGAGAAAATTCAAAAAATATAGAAATTTTGCGCGTTCGTACGTTAAAACTTTTAGAGTTAATAGATGATTGGAAAGGACACTTCACGCTGACCATTTCAGTGGGTGACTGTACGATTGATCCGATTTATTCCTTAAAGTTTAGGAAGCTGTCAGAACTTTCAAGATTTTGCCCTGATACAAAAAATTTTACATCTTTTCTATTTTTCCACGACTAGTCGTTTTGTTCCTAACGTTCTACTACCAAAATGCAGTCAATTTGAATTTAAAAAAGCATCACAAAAACTATGTCAAGAACTCTAATTGAATCATAAGTATAAACATTTTGAGCTGATGTCGAATTGGTTCAATCTGCTCAGCGCAGTTTTTTTTTCAATTAATCGAAATTTATTGGCCTTTAAAATTTAGATTGCTTCAAATTTTTTAAAATGTTTTGTTCAATTTCTTGTTCGTTTTGATGCAAAAAGATACTGTTATAATTGAACATTTCACACAATCTAAACTTCCACAAGTTTTTCAAATAAACCAGAACAAATGTAGCATCAAAGGCCCAAACGAATCTCGAAAGAAGGGCAAATATCAGTTCCATTTTGGCTATTTCAATAAATATTAACATATCATTTCAACTATGACAATCTCAAAACTCAAGATTTATGTTGCGTTATTTGCGCTGCATATTTTGACAGACAGCATAATTTTTTCAGCTCAAGACACAGAACAAACAATGTTTGCACCCGCAGAAAAATCAACTTCATTAATTATCAATGGAATAAAAGCTAATCAGAGACCCTTCTACGTCAGAATTCTTTCAAACAGGAGCAAAAAATTCTGTGGTGCAACTGTTATTGATTTCAATTGGGTAGTAACCTCCGCAAACTGCATTGCTAACAACAGCTGTTAGTATATTTCGTGATTCTCATTTATTTCATGAAGAAAGATGCTTTTCCATCAGGAATTTTGTAACCATTTGATTATATATTTAAAGGGAGAAATTAAAAAATTAATTTATGAACCAAGAAAAAAGTCGAGAAATTGTTAGAAAAATTTGAAAACGCCCCCTCCCCCCACTCGGGAATAAGCTAGATCCGCTGCTTATTATAAGAAGTAAAATACATTTTTTTCTCCGCAGAAAGAAACATCTGAAAACATAATCGTGATCTGACATACAAGTCAGATTTGCTTTTCTAAACTTATATCAATAACTTTGTAATTAGACATCAATTGACTCAAAAAAATTCTTTTCGGTCCAAAAAATGTCTTTCATTTGTTCCAACTTAAAATTTCAAAATAAATTTTTTTTTATATTTACAAAACAGTTCAAAACTTTCTAACTCCTTCTAATTATTTTAAAGATCGCAAAATAAGCAGCCAGTTTTCAGAAACTTTTGTATTTCAATAAATATCTACATAGCTGTAGTTGACAACGGTATGAGTGAAGTTTTTTTTCAGTAGCGTGGCTTTCTGTGGAAATTGGGGACTTTGCAAACCCGAGTATGTTAAAAGTGAAATTTGGCGTGGAAAAGGTCATTTTAGCTGACAGGTTAGTCAAGCATAAGTTACAGTCAAGCTAAATTTACGCTTTGAAAAATTTCAAAATTGCATGCTGGATAAGTTTGGAACTGTTACAAAAAACGTAGGACTTATTTTACACCTAGAAAACCATGAAGTTTTTTCAGTCCAAAACCTCACTTTCAAAGATATTTAGTTTGATCAATGTTTTTTTTTTCATTTCAAATTCAAAACACTTCAGATTTCAGCAATTTTTTTTCTTCATTTTTCAATGAGGTGGCGTTGATAACCGTCCAAAAAAGTAACATTTTTTAATCTGATTTGAGCATTTTTATTTCAACTTGATTAAATTTCAGTTTCAAACGCACTACTGGCAGACCTTACAACAATATCGCACTCGTCAAAATGAAGCGACGACTCGGATTTGGCCGAATTTTGCCGATGTGCCGAGAGTCTCCAGACTTAGGAATCCAAAACTTTGTTTTTTTTTCCAACCAAATCTCAAATTTATCCCAAAAAATTATCGAGTTTTTTTTCTAATTGGCTTGAGCAGTGATGACAAAGTCAAAAATTTTCAAAGCCATTAATAACATCACAAACTGCATAAAAATCTTTTGGTTGCAGTTATAATAAGCCTTAAACTTAAACAAGACTGCTCGTATCAGGGCGAAGCCCTGAATGTTCCGACTGCCTTTTAAGGTTTATGAAGCAGTAATAATATTAAAAAATTCAATGAAATAAAACAAAATGAAAATTTTTTTCTAAAATTTGAAATTTTTAATGAAAAAAACCCCCACACGCCATTTAAAGTACAAAAGGATAAATTTTACTCCTTGTAACAAGCCAGTTATTGCAAATAAGCTTCTTTTAACCAATTTGGAACGATTTCTAAGAAGGATTAACTCTCCGCTTACGCGTTGATAGTGCGAAATATATCGCACATTAATTGTCCCTAATTGGCCAAATTGGCAATCTTTAAACCCCCGTAACTTTACAAAAAATGATCACAGGTGAAATATCTTTTCAAATTTGAGCTCAAGACAACAATACTTTTCGAATGATATAAAAAATTTTTGTCAAAAATGGCTAGTTAAAAAGTCGAAATTTGTCTGAAGAAAAAAAAACCCACCCCGAGCACAAATATTCCGTTACTTTCGTATCAAAAGTCGGAACAAAAATTGTTCACTTGACATAATGGTTTGGTCGTTGATGTCCGGCGTTGAGCATAGAAAGCGCTACTTTTGAAGCAAAATTTTTCCTCGCCATGAGTTATTACGATAATCATTAATTGCAAATCGAAAAAAAAACTGAAAAGTTTTTAATTTTATTTGCAACTCAATTCTAATTGACAAATGGAGTAATGGAGCGGGGAAAAAACCTAACCGAATCCAATTCTTCGCCTCTCTTATATGTGTGAAAAAAGTTCAAGAAAACGGTAGAAAATGAAAAAAGACTGTTCGTTTCTTTGAAGGCAATGCAGAATATTACTGCTTGAGGTGATTTTTTATTCAGACAGTTTTTGACTTTTAAACTCAGCATTTTTGATGGAGTTTTTTAATTTCATCGTAGAAAAATTATTGTCCGGGCTCAAATCTAATAAGATATTCTACGTAAAATCATTTTTCGTTCAAAAAAAGGGGCTTTGAAGAACGCTAACGTGACCAATTTTTAAAAACTAACGCGCGATGTGCACGCTCTTCGAACAGGGGTACGCGGCAATAAAATACGTTCCAAAATCAATTGAGGAGAGGACTTTAGTCCTATGAAAATAATTTGAAAGCTAAACACACCCTCTCTATTTTACTGAGCGTTTAAAAAAGAGAGTTTTCTTTACATAATTTTGTCATTTATTTAACCAAAAAACTTTTTACTGGCCTTTAGGTGCATTTGGAACATTCAGAGCTTTGCTTTTATATGCTAACTGTCTTGCTCGAACTCATTCCCGCACACGCTATTGTGAACTACATAGGAAAATATTTAGCGTCCTATCTTTTCGAATAAAAAGTCCTAAAGGTTTGCCTCAGCTCAATTTAAAATGCATTATTCCACTGCTTACGGGCGCTAACAGAACGCAATATTGCGCGTTTATGATCTCGAATTGGCCAAAATAACAATATTCAAACTTTTGTCTTTTTACGAAAAGATCACAAGCGAAACTTTTTACATTTGAGCTCCGGTTAACAAAATCACATGGTATCAAACTTTCCGTCAAAATTGTTTAGTTAAAAAGTCAAAAATTGAGAAAAAATAAAAAAATGGCCCAAGCATAATCCATTCACTTTTGAGTTAGGACTGGGGTGTATAACTCATAGAGTAATTTCGGATAGGGTACACCGTCTGCTCGTCACGCTATCTTATTTTCGGCCGGATAGATTCGTGCAACTTCTTAGTCTAATACCGATCCTAATCTTACTCTTATACTATCTAGTCTCAGGTTGTTTAACTAGTCTCTGCTAGGCTCAATAGATCTAGGGTATACTGGTTTATTGCGGCTGCTGAAGTGCTCGGGAGAGTCCAACTAATTTCTAAGTTAAATTCAAATCTCTCTGGTGCTGAAATTACAAGTAACTTCAGCACTTACAAATAAGTGGGTTGTTAGTTAGATGGATCATGATTGGTTAATATTAAATACTTTACATTGGTAAAACATTTAATTTATCCAATCATAAAATATAGTTTAGATCAGGTTCCACCCATCCGGGTTTTACAGAGTTTTTTAGAACAGTTCTTCTGTAGTTCAAGGATGGATGATGGACGTTGGTATTTGGCGAACATCATTTTTCTTTTGTTTCCTTTTTGTTAAGGAAGTTCCAGGGATCTGGAATTGAGGACACAAGACGTTGTGTTCTTCTTGTGACAACGACTGAGTCTCTGCAACAGCATCAATTCTGGTTTCAGAATGGTTGGCTATGTCAGGTTTTTCTGTTCTTCGGAGAGAACTTCTTTTGTGTTTGATCTAGCTCGGGAATGGCGTGGAGATTGTGCATGGAGGGGATGCCTGGTTACTCGGATCTGTACGTATACTTGAACATCGAGGTGGTCATTGGTCTAGTTCAATGAAGTCCTTTTCTGCGAAGTCAAGTCGTACTCTAAATCCTTTGAGTTGTGATTGTGAGCGGCATATCGATTGTAGTTGGTCATTCTCTCTCGAGTGTAGTGAGGTCGTCTTGTCTTTTGATGTTCGTCCTTGGTGTTGTATTCTGATCTATATATTGCATCATGTGATTTTACATTTTATAAAACTTTTATTAGTTTAATATTTTTTAATAATGATTTTAGTTAGTTGTTTTCACAAAAGCTTTTTGTTTTAGTTCGGTTATTTTGAAGAGTTACTCACCCTTGAGTAGCTCTTATTAAAAATAAAGGTGTGGTCACAAAGCGTGGATGTAGCGCGGTGGGTTAGGCCGGCTATAGAGCATGCTCAGGACGTCCTTTCCTGGTGGGTTAGGCCAGGAGTGGGAGTATGATTTCATGCGGTGTTTGTGAGGGGTCCTGTTATGTGACAATGTTTTATGTTGGGTTTGTTGTGGGTTTACTTATGTCTTGTTGGTTATGTGCTTTTTTCAAAAATCAAATTGTTTGTGGTATGGGTTTGTCTTTCGACTTTTTTGTGTTTTATTATCTCTTTCTAAGACTTTGTAATAGTCTTCAAAAGAATAAATTATCCAGTTTTAAACTGGGTTAATCCGGTTTGGGTACCGTTGGTTTCCTTTTCTAAGTCATGCTGTTATTTTATGATTTGTGGTATTTAGTAAGCTGCGTTGGTTAGTTTTGTTTAGTATATGATTCCTTTCCAACCGGGTTAAAGGAAAGTTTGAAACTTGTTATTATATGTTAGAGTTGTTGAGTGTGAAAACTTGAAACTGAAATTCATTATTTTAAACAATTCTTCGTGGGCGAGCTGTGTGAGTGTGGATAGAATTTCTGTGCGAATGAATGAAAATATCAAAAGGTTAGTACTGCAATTGCATTTTATTAATTTACTGCATAGAATTTGGAAATTTACTGCTAGTAATGGGGGAATTTTAAGATACAAATTTTCATCATATGTAGATTTATTGCTGTTGGGGGAAAATTTATAAATTAATTTACTGCATTGGTATTATATTTATTTAATTGTTGGTGCAAAAGTTTAATAGGGTTTTAAACAGTTTTGAAGAAGTTTGCTATTTTTTATTTTTCTTTTGTGAATTTTTCAGATGGTCTAGGATGAAGGCTAAAAATCTAAAGAAAACATGAATAAAGAATGGTGAGTTTTTAATATTTTAACTAGTTAGTGATATCATTTAATTCATACTTACCTGTTAGTCGTCGGGGAAAAAACCGTGGGGGAAGATGTCGTGAATTAGTTCTGAAGTTGTTAGTAGTTTAGCTAGAATGCGGATGATATTTTTAGTCTGAAGTAGTGGCCAAAGCAATTGAAGTGCCTTAATAGTGGTTAGTTCTTCAGTGCCTACTGCAAACTCATAAGGTGTGTTTTGGATTAAGTTATATAATTTGTGGTTAAATTTCGTGTTGTGGATGAATTCTAAAATTGGGATTTCTATAGGCTGTACAAACTCGTGCGGGATAAGGAAGGGTCGGGATTTTTCGGCGTTGAAGGTCTTGGTGATGGGGCAGAAAATGTACATTTGGGTTATGGGGTCATAGTTACGAAGAATACCATGAAGGTTAGTATCTTTAATACAATATGTGAAATTTAGGAAATACGGTGAAGTGTATTTTGAATTGATGAATTGAAAGCGATGGTGTGGTTGTCTAGAGGGTGTGTGGAGGTCAAAGTGATTTTGGATGAAACGATAGTAACTGTATGTATGTGTTTGTTTAGTTCGCAACATAATATCGTGTGAGCAGTGTAAATCTCTTTCGTGTGGTGCAAGGAAATGAAAGGTTAGTGAAAAGATTTGGAAGCGTTCTTGAAAACTTTCGTACGCTTGTGTGCTTGTTAGTGCTTCTGAAATAATGTGATCAAACTTTCGGTCGAAGATGTTTAGTGTAAATACATATGGTGTCTTGATGAAAAATTTCTCGGTGATTTGTGGGTTAGCGAAGCGATCATCGTCTAAGAATTGATCTTGGTTAGCTCTGATGATGTTGTGATCGTAGTATTCTAGTGTATATTCATTAGCTCTAGGTGCAGTGTGTATTTTTAGTGATTTTTTATATCCTACGTAAGTAAATTGTCTAGCGGTGAGTGGTGTAGTTAGTCGATATAGCATGTCTTTGTTTCGGTCTATATCGATGGATGTGTTGGTTAAAGGTAAGCAAAGAGGGTTAGTGAAATGATAGTATGAGGTCCAAGAGAGAGTGGGCATTAAAACGTATTCGTCTACAAAGTTGCGTGTTTCGTTAGCGTCATGAGGGGTGTTTAAGGTGTATTGTGGAAATGAGGGTAAAGTGATAGCTAAAAATTCTCTAGTGTTAGTATGCTGGGGGTGGTTGATGTATTCACGGGCTGTTCCTGGTTTTGCTGGGAAAGGATGG